CAAAATTTATTCAATTGAGATTAATGTGTATATATACATCAAAGTATTCGTGTAATGTCACCTTTTTTTCTCTTTCTTGTTCGTATTCGATTGATCAACAAATAACATATAATACATCGAGATTTGTTTGATCAAACCGAACATAATCAGATTCTGTTGTATTTAAACCATTAGTTTTCTTTTTTATTTTGACACAAAAAAAAAGAAGTAAAACCTTGAAAAAAAAGAGTTTAGTTAAGTATTTGTTTGTAGATGAAACTTTCAAATACATTGTTTTCACTGAGCATAAAACTAAGTAATATAGAATTTCATCCAAATCTAGATATTTATTTATTATAAAAACTTATGAACTAGATTTTTCGTAGATAAAAATAATAACAACATCACAGTTAATTAGAAAAGATAAGTTCACGTGTAAGATGAATATATGTATAAGGACCTTGATAATAACTTTCATAAGTATTCATATTTGAACTAGCTTTTTCTATAGCTGGTTCAATTTGTGTACCTTCGTGCCATTCATTAAATGATGTTATTGATACTATTTGATCATTATCATTTGGTAAGTCTTTAAACATTTGTCTATAATAATTTCCATTATTTCTTGATCGTGTTGTTTCGCCGTTCCATGGTCGAATATTTGTATCGATATAACCTGGTCCAACACTTGGTATAAATGGTATTGGTTTACATTCATCAGCAATTGATGTCCAACGTTGAGATGTTGATGCTTCAGTAAAACCATTTGCAGCAAAATATGAATAAGCAGCATCAAAACCAGATGATGCTAATTGTTTACAATTAATAGATTTTAGAATTAGACCAACAAAATAAGCTTTTTCTTGATTAGATCGAAGTTTTTCACGCCATTCACTTGATGAGATTTGGTATGAATCATAAATATAAAAGAATCCTTTTTCTTTATAACGATAAAATGCTGAATGCGATCCATATCGACGAAGAATATACTGTGACCAATAAATAACATTATCAGCTGTACGATTTTTATAGGGTTCAATATGAAAACAAACCTAAAGAAAAATAAAGGATTGTTTTTATTTAAAATATATTTTTACTTTTAATTTATATTTTTCAGCTGCATCGAGTAGTTGTGGCATAAGATCATCCCATGGAGATCCTTGATCATCAGCCATTCCAGGTGGATACCAACTTACTGATAAAGTACCTAAGCGAAAAAAAAATCTTATTAAAATAATCAATTGTTTTGCTTTTCAATACCAGCACCACTCATACGAATCATTCGCATATGTTGATCCATAATATTGGGTGAACGAGAACTATAAGCACCAAGTAATGGATAAAAATTACTACCAATATCATCGGGTGGTGTATGTGAATGTTGTGGATAATGTGAAGCTTTTTCACGATTCCAATGAGCTAATCGAGGATGATTCCAATGATAATATCGATTAGAATCAAAATCTGGATTTCCATACCTTGAATATGTATATTTTTCTTTTCGAATACTATTTATAATTCGAAGAAAATTTCAACTTACCATGCATAATAAAAAATATGATAGTTATATTTAACCGGTGTACGTTTTAAAAATACATTAAGATTATCAATTTCATTTCGAGATAATGATCCAGATGTTGATAAAGTCGGGTGAGAATGGGAAATATCTCGTTCATAAGTAATAAATAAACTTTTATATAAAATATAACACCAAACGAGAAGGATAAAACTAAAACCAACAGCAAGCCACCGAATTCGACCACGACGCGTATACACGTGCCACATTAAACATCTGCAAACAAACTACTATTCATTTAATTTTATTTATCATATATAAGAAATCAGATACTATTGTTTTACTTGAATCTCGATAGCGGCCTGTCCACGAAAAAACCATAATTCGGTTACGCTTTATTTATCTCATTACGCATAAACGACTTAATATTTCGTCACGAATACAATTCGTGATTTTAGACGAAAAATCATCTACAGCTTCTCATTCATTACAAACAATCGTGACGGAATCAACCGCTTTCGTGGACAAGCCGATAGAATGAATGATTGATTTTATTTCATTTAAATTTAGGTTAACTATTCAGATTCAATTATATCGATATATCAATAAAAGAAACATATTTTGTATCAAACAATAATCCTAGAAAAATGTTTTATTTTATTTTTTTTTGTTTTTGTTAGTTAGTCTTATAAACAGCATATATAAAAAAATGGGAACACATCATATATGCTCTTAGAGGCACTGCTTATGAAAGGAAAAAAACAATGAAAGACTAATTAACGCTTTTTAGCAATTGCGTCATATATGGTATCAAATTGTGGATCGGCAACGTTGATCATCAATGCTTGAGCATCAAGAAAAGCACGATTTGTACTCGTTGAAAGCTAAAAGAAAATAATGATTCAATATATTTACATATAGTTTGTTTTATGTTCATTACCGTTTTAGCGATATTTTGGGCAGCACGTATTCTACGTAATTTTAAGTAACCGGGATTTTTACTAATAGCATTACCAATCTAAAATATAAGAACTTTACTTATTTATTGTAATTAAAGATTAATTACACATACAAGTTTAGCTGATTCAGCGTCACCTTCAGCTAAGACAATTTTTTGTTGTCGTTCTTGTTTAGCTTGTTCAACAGTAAATACAGCTCGTTGAGCTTCTTGTTGAGCAACCTGTTTAGCTTCAACAGCAGCTGAATATTGTGTACCAAAACTAAGTTCAGTAATTGATACATCATCAAGTAAAATATCAAAATCTTTAGCACGTTCAATAAGATCAAGACGAATTAAATTAGATACTTGTTGACGTTGTGTAATTAATTGTGATGCATTAAATTTTGCAACAACACTTTTTAATACTTCATTACATATCGATGGTAATACACGTTCATCCCAATCTAAACCTAATGTTTGATATAATTTTGGCAATTTTGCTTGATCTGGTCGAGCTAAAACTCGGAGAGCTAAAAAAACAGTTTTAGTATAAAGATTTATTTTAAAGCAAAAAACAAACCAATTGTAACCATTTGTAAATCTATATTAAAGGAAAAAAGAAGTTAATTAGTTAATCAAAGAAAAGATAAGAATATGAAACCTTTGCTTCCAGTTGGTGATTTAATAATTCTTGGACGTGCTCGAATATCATATAGAATTGGATATTGAAACCATGGAACTCTATATAGAAAAATATCGTTTAATCCAATAAATTTCATTTTTTTTCATCTTACCTAAAATGTAATCCTTCTGAATGAATCGTATTTTGATCAACACCACCAATACGACTGAAAATAATGGCACGATGACCACCCTCAACTATAAAACAAAAAATAGAATCGATCAATATTCTAATATTTTAATATTACCGGTAAACATGGATTTATAAATTCCATAAGCTGCAGCTGATATTCCAAAAAGTACAGCACCACCTACACCTAATCCTTTAGGTGCACCTTTAGATAATCGACTAGCGAAATCATTCAATTTTTCAGCCATATTTTTCTAATCTAAAATGCAAATATTTATTACAACACAATTTTTGGTATTTTTCATTCATTAAAAAAAAGATTCAAATTATTATTCCGAAACAGATTGTTTTATAAATACAGAATTCGTATCTAATAATTTATTAAAAAGAGATGATATTTGTTTATCAATTGACGCGACAATTGATGAAACATCATTTTCAATCGACGCATGATCATCCTAAAAGCAAAAATTCGATACTACAATAATAAAATTATTTGATTTTGCTTATACATTCGATATCCATAATTGTTCAAGTCGAACTAATGCACTATCAAGAGTATCAATAGTTGCATTGAATTTTTGTTTTTCCGCTTCTAAATGTTGACAATCAATTTCATGTAATAATTCATTATTCTCAGCAATTGTCGTCGGTTGATCAAGTACACTTTCCTAATTTAGCAAAAAAAACATTGGGATTTTTCAAAATCAAATAAATTTTGTTACCATCCATTTCCAAAAGATATCTTCATGTTTATTCCAGAATAGAAATAAATTTAATTTATAATGTTCATTATCAAGTTCAGTTAAATACTGAAAAAAAGAAATAAAATTAAAGAATTTTTTTGATGGAAATAAATTACTTGAGTTATAAGATGAGGATATTGACAAAGTTGGGATTCAAATGATGACATAGGATGATTATCTTCAGGATTTTTATGTTCAATTGCTCGTAAACATGAACGGATTTTTGAATTGGAATGTAAAGCTTGTTTTATTTGTTCGATTAAATCACATTTATCATTTTCAACAATCTCTGTAGGATTAGAAATCGAATTTAAACATTGTTTCATACATTTTTCAATTAATTTAACATGATAGATAAGCCAACCAACGCAAACAAGTAGATGTCGACTACCTTCTTGCATATTATTATCAAGTGATAAAAAATAATCATAAGTATATCCACGTTTATAAAGATCACGTTTGATTATATCAACGATTTCATCTAAACATATAAATCAAAGAGTTCTGATGTTTATTAATTAACCTTAAACATACCTTTTGGTGTTTGATCAAATTTATTTTGACTAATTTTATCTGAATCAATATGAATCATTTCATATAGTAATCTCCACAATGGAACAGTCTATAATAGAAAAATATATATCTAAAAATCTTAATCGAATTTTATCCTTACTGCTTCATTTTGATCAAATTTAGCCAAACGAAATATTTCCGATGTAATCGTTGAAAATCCATATGATGATAAAATCTGACAAAAACATTCAATGACTGGACGGACTTGTTCTGATGACATTCTAGAGTAATATATATATATTCATTAAATTCTTTTCTTTAAAACAAAACAAAAAATTTCTCTTTGGTTTTTTTTATTTATATATGTATATATATATATCTTTTTTTTTGTAATATGTATAGAATTTTATACGTTTCATAAATGAAAAAAAAGAACAAAAAGACAAAAAAAGAATAGAGTTCTTTCGTTTCATACATCATATAGTTCAATCTATTATTCACTTAGAAAAGAAAAAAAAAACAAACAGATAAACATGGAATATCCAGCTACCTAATCTAGGTCGCATAGAAAGAAACACGAAAAAGAAAATATACAGAAAAAGAAAGTGCACATGCAAGATTTGAGTTTTTTTGCTTTTGAAAAATGATTAGGTTTTGCTTTTTATTTCAGGTGTGATTGTTGGAGTTGTGGTCCATTGTTGTTGATGTCGAGTTAATATGAGATTCATAGAAGAACTGTTCGTCGTAGATACATCCATAGAAGATGAATTGGATGAATGATTGGTATTATTTGATGGGGATAAAGGTGTTGATATAATTTGACGACTACGACGTGATGAAACACGTGTAGGAACACTTTCGGTTTTAGGAGAATTCGTTGATTGTTGTGGAGATAATCGACTAGATGGAAATTAATAATATTAAATTTACTTTTTATTTAATTATAAAGATGGATTTTACCTGGTACTTGAAGGTCGACCACGTTTTCCTTTGATTACAGGCACAGGTGATGAGGAGGGAGGTGGTTGTGCTGGTGAATCACAAGCTGAACATTGCCATGATCCTTCTGGAATAGCTTCTAAACCAACACAATATGTATGATAACCACGATCACATCGATCACAGAACATCATATTAGCCTAAAGAATAATAAAACAAAAAATAGAAATTCTTTAGTTATTTTGTTTTTATCTTACTTCATCATGTGTTTTATTACATTTAGCACAACTTTTACAATCAATACATTGCCATGGATATGTTTTAATTATACTCAACATTTCATTATTAACATCAAGACAAACAGGATGAAAATGATGATTACAACTAGTACATGTTACTAATTCTTCATCATATTCATCTTGCGTTATTTTACATATATGACATAGATTTGAATGACTGTTCACAGATATTGGTGTTGATGGTTTAGTTACACGTGATAATGATGGTGTACCACCAATTCCGTTGACTAGAAGAGGTGATTGTGGTGTTGAAGGACGTTGTTGAATTGAAAGATTTGAATGAACAGGACGAGTCGTTGAAGAATTTCCATCTTCTTCATCACTTGATGCTGTCTGAAGGAACAAAAAATTAAAACATTTAGTAAATACAAAATAACATTGAAGAGAGGTACTTCAACTGAGTGGTATACATCTTATCTATCGAAAACATATATGTAGTTTTCATGTCAAATATTGACATTACAGTAACATTGCTATCTGTATTAGGAGATCTTATATCGGATTTAACTCAAGTTACAAAAATATGAGTAATTCTGTTGTAGGTAATATTAATAAATTATTCAGTCATGTATCTTATAAATAGATGGTTACATTTTCGACTAATAATATTAGCTGATATACGACCTTTCTTTACAGGTAAGATATTTTCATAGTAAGACTAGGCTTAAATTTAGATTCAGATTTTTTTTCTATCTCTAAAATCTTCAGGTATATGATATACTTTACCTGCTGTGAAAAACGTTCAGTCTGAACAAGTGAAAGTGGTTTTGGATAATAATAAAGTGCAGTATTTATAGGCATATATTTTAATTCCTCTGATTTATATTTTATACAAGAATCTTGATATTGTCCAGGTAAAAGTGCTAATGGATAAGAACCAATTTTTGTTAAATGTGATGGTAATCGAAGTTGTCTATTTGCAGGATAATGTATTTGCTAGAAAAAATTCAAAAGAATAGTATTAAGAAAGAAAAATTCATAATAACAAACCATAGTTTGAAGATCAAAACATGCTTTACGATCTTGAAGTCTTTCTCGTTGTAATTGCGTATTAAAATCTACTGTTGAACGTATTAAATCTTGTCGAAATTTCTATAAAAATAAAATTAATGATAAGATTTCAAGGAAACAAAATTCACATACGGAAACGCGGTTCTTATCTCCATTATCTAATAAATGATTTGGCTGAGTATTTGATGATGTTATTAAGGATGGATTTGCATTTGCTATAGACATAAGGGATGATACAGAGGTACCATTATTATTAGTTGCAACAAGTGTACGACGTTTTTGTTGCCATGCATGATTGAATTGCTAAAATGATAGAAGATCATCAGTTATAAAGTTTATAATTCGGTGTATCTTACATGACATTTTTCTGGATAATCAGTTGACATAAGTTCTAAGACTTCATCGAGTTTAAGTGCTGTTAAACCAAGATCACATTGTGTTTCAGTGACAACATTTTGCGATTTTAAATATTCTCGTTCATGTAAATCAACAATTCGTCGGTAAATATCTATTAAATATATAAAAATATTGGTCTTATTAAAAGAAATAGATAAAATTTTACCAGGATATTTTCGTTTAAATGATTTAAGTGATAGATAATCACAGATTTGTTCTTGTAATACATGTAATTCAGCATGTGGTTCACCTGTTGGCCATCGATAGACATGTAAACTATCGGCTGATAAATGTCTTCTAAGAAAAAAAAACGTTTCGAATTTTTTCTCTAAGAATAATATTGAAAACAAACCCTAGACTTTGATCAATATCCGTTGTTGTTCGTTTTTTTCGACTTTTCTTTGTTGGTGTATCTGTGGTTGTTGTTGATGAATGATTTGTATCATTATTATCATCATCTCGTGTTAAACTTGGTGATCGATTACGTTTAAGTGATTTATTTGTTAATTCTATATGATTATGATTAATATGATTATTAATTGAAGGTAAAATAACGTCGTCAGATGACGTTGATACTGATGAATGAATTGAACTATTCATCAATTAATCTAAAGTTTAAAAAAATATTGTCTTGTCTATGCCCTTCAACAAATACAAGATACTATTGTATTGCCATTTCAAACATATTCTAACCTCAATAAAAAAATACAATGAAAAAAAAACTCAAAAATATTTTTCAATAAAAATAAATCAATTGTTTTGATTTTTTTTTGAATTTTTTCTTAAATGATATTTATATTTTATAAAGAAATAAGAATAATAGAAATAGATGGCAGTATGAATTCTTAGTACGTTGATAGTAGTGTCCTATGATTCATTCAGCGTAATAAAACACTGAACATTATGTTTTTATATTACTGATTGATTGTAAAAGAAAGAAAAATGATGTTTCGACGCCATGGCAGCAGTCTGATCTATTCACCGAATTTCCAACGATTATATACAGCTCGTTTTCTACCTTTATTTTTACATTTAGTACTTTTAGTACTTATCTTTGTTTACAGTGTAAGTTATCGAAAGAAAGAGAACAAATGTCCGTAAATGATATTTCATCGACTAATCTATTTTAGGATGATTTAGTACAGAATAATTGTAAGAACGATTATGCTAGTGCGTCGAATGGATATGTTTGGTAACATGCTTCTATATGTCATGCTTTTGTATCGAAATATTTTTTTTCGTTAAAAACAGGGCGTATGCATGGACAGGTACATCACTTGGTTTAGTGTTTATTGAAATGGTTTTAGCACTATCAGGTTTCTCAATTTTCCGATATTATGCCATATTTTTCTGTAAGATGATAATTTAAAAATAACTTTGTTTCTTATCTTTAATTATCTATTTTTAGCAATTGTATTACATTCAGCAGCATGCGTACTTTTAAGCGCATATTTTATGTCGGATATAAGTATATGTACAGGTTCACCATATTTACTATTTTTCTGTACTTTATTACCATTGATTATTGAATCGATTAGTTGGATCGAATTATTTGCATTCAACAAAAAATTGTGATGTTTTTCTTTTTTTTGTTTTGCTTCCTTTTTTTCCTCTTTTGATGATTTGATTTACGTAGTTCCGTCCATTAAATAATAATAATGATATTAGAATGCTTTTCAATTATCGTATACATTTTCATGTTTATTGTAACTTTTAGAGGATGGCTTCAGCAGCACCTCCTTCTCATTTGTCGTCTGCAGCTGCTGCTGATATTCCAACATTAAATTCTTATGGTTCATTATATCATTCGGATGATATTGAAGTATTACCATCGACAACTGTTATTAATCCAGCAACATTTCAAAGCAATGACTCTGATTCTGCAATAGCACATCGATATAAACCAGCAAGAACACCTTGTTTAAAACCTCATCAATCTGAAACAATATTTGCTATATGTTTATTTACACTTGGTCTTAGTTTATTAACCTATGTTATTGTATCATATTGGTTTACACATAGTCAAATATCTCCAATAATTATCTTTATATGTGGTTTAGTTTGTTTTATACCTGGTTGTTATTATTTAATCGAACATTACTGTTTTATATTTAAATGTCAACGAAATCGTAATCGACCTTTACGAATAATTGATCAGGATGATGATATTATTTAGTTATAAACAAATACAAACAAACAAACTATTTTCTTTTCTTTCTTTTTCATCAATATTTCTTCATCTCATTTATTTTATGCAGATATTAATCAATACTTTACCTTTATCTGTCTCTTTTTTTTTAATTAAATTGTATAGACAAAAAAACAAACAATAATAAACATTCTTTTGTTTCTCAAAGAATATTAAATATGAACAAAAAAAACAAATTTCAATTTTGTGTATTTTTTATTTTCTAGATGAGTGTAACTACGACTAATTTTAATACAGATATTTTACGAGATTTAACATTCGATGTTTTATCGGGTATTGCTAATGATCCAACAAAATTCGATGAATTTAATGATGCTTATATAAATAAAATTCATGAACGTACAGATGGAGATGATTTAAAAAGATATACAAGAGATATTTATGAGAAAATACTTTGTAAGATAAAATAAAAAAAATTTTTTTTTTAAAAATATTATTCTTTTTTTAGCTTTACAAACTGTACAAGTCAATACAGGAGTACAATTAAAAGATACATTTCATGAAAAAATTGTTATTATTTATTTTTGGACTTTTTCGGATATTCATTCTTCCAATATGTTACAAAAAATAATTGGTATTGATAAACGATATTCCAATTCTGGTGTAAGTTTATCTAGGAGCGATTGTATCATATATCATTTTTATACCCTTTAGGCTATAATATATCTATCCGTGTGATTTAAATCTATATGATATTTAGGTAAAAATAGATTATCAATTTGACAGAGAAAGATAAATCAAAAGCTTCTTTGTCTTTAATACTTTTTAATTGAAAATATAGGATTTCCTTCCGCAAAGGAAAACTATGTTACATTTGACATATATAGAAAAGAAAGATCTAATTATGTAAATGTTCTTCTTTTGAAATAGAATATTTGAGATTTCGTGGCGCAATGATATTTATGTAATCAACTTTCTTGCTATTACTACTCTTTGCTTACAAAAAAAAACAAGCTATCGTTGGCTATGAATAACTGCTATTTATAATTAAATCTTCTTGCTTTGCTTTTTTCTTACTATTTTAAATAGAAAATGAATAATTAACTTGTCATATTTGTTCTGTAGCTCTCTTGTGATTAAAAATAGATTTTCTATGAAGATAATCTGTATACTAATGAAAAACGAAGTAAATTAACTGTTTACGCGTGCACTTGATCCAATGTATAAGAAGGGATATGGTTTTTTTTATTTGACGTACTACCAAGGATTCTTTCAATTTCTTTTTATTGAAAAAAGTACGTCAAGATGTAGAGACAATGAAACTCATTTCCTGAATAAACCTTTTCTATTAATATACTCGAGGCGTCAATTTTTGAGAAATTTTCAAGTAATTAAACTTGTCATCTCTCGAAGATTAAAGAACTTCCATGACACCTGCATCTTACCATACTCTGCTGTAAACAAAAACAAATTAAATATATTGGATAAAAAGGCCTGGGGAGAAATTTTGAAAGAAAAATAAACCATATTTTTACCTTCGCTTAGTGAATATGATTTATTAGTTAAAAATAAGTTACTCATATTACCATTTTTTAAAGGCCACTATTATTGGTGTTCATTCTCCAAAATATGAACATGAAAAAAATAAAAGTAATGTTCGACATGCTATTGAAGAACAATCGCTTCCATTTACAGTTGCTAATGATAATGGATTACAAGTATGGAAACAAGTTGGTTGTCAAATATATCCAACAGTACTTGTTTTTGGTCCTGATGCATATCCAATATTTATTTTTGAAGGCGAAAATCATGTACAACATTTAGAAGCATTTCTTCCACCAATTCTTACTCATTACAAATCTAGTGTACATGCAACACCAAGTGGTTCATTATCAATTAAAACTTCACCTGAAGATATGATTACAAATGGTACTAGTAGAAATTGATTTAAATAAAAAATAAAGACTTGAATTCGATTTTGTAGTTGTAAAATCACCAACATTTACATATCCAAGTCATTTATGTATAACATCCAATGGGCAATTATGTATTTCATTTGCTGGTTCAAATCAATTGATTCTATGTGAAGTTGATGGAAAAGTTGTTGTAAGTATAATTTGAATTTTTTCAATATGATAAAAATAACAAAATTTTTTTATAGGAAGTTGTTGGTAATGGTCATCCTGGTATGGCTGATGGTGAAGTACAACAAGCTGAATTTGATTCACCACATGGTCTTGTTGAATTTAATGGTTGTATTTATATTGCTGATACAAATAATCATGCAATACGTGTGGTAAAAAGAAAGAATTAATATAATGATTAGAAAAAATTTTATATTTAGTTTGATCCAAATTCACGTCGCGTTTTGACATTAATTGGTACTGGTCGTTTAGGAAACGATAAAGTTGGTGGTCTTAAACGATCACAACAACCAATTGCTTCACCATGGGATTTATGTATTACAGAATCACCATGTAAGTATGATACTTTGCAATAGAATTGATCTTATTGTGTGTGTTTCTAGTTGATCATAAAACAGTATTACTTATTTCAATGGCTGGTCAACATCAAATATGGGCTTATGCTTTCGAAGAAACTCAATGGTGGAATGATGTGTATGTAAAATTTGAATAATTTTTATTTCAAAAAAAAATCTTTTCATTTAGTGTAATACAAAAGAATTCATGTTGTGCTATTATTGGAAGTGGTGTTGAAGAGAATAGAAATGGTTCTGAGCCAATGTCGGTTTGTTTAGCAGCACCACGTGGTATTTGTAATGGTGTAATGAATGGTCAACCAGTTCTATTCATTGCCGATAGTAATAGTTCAAGTATTCGTGTTGTTACACTTAAAGATGGAAATGTAGCTAATTTAATTGGTGGTGATGCTGATCCAACTGTATGGATAAAAGAAAATCAGAATTTATTATTGTTTTTTTTTAATTTATAGAATCTATCAGCATTTGGTGATCTTGATGGTAGTGGTTATAGTGCTAAATTACAACATCCAGTCGGTGTTGCATTTCATTATCCAACATCACAATTATATATCACAGATACATTTAATAATAAATTAAAATATATTGATATGAAAAGTCTTGTTTGTTCAAGTTATTTTGTAACAGATACTGATACAAAAAAACAACGTGGTGAAACAAATTCAGCTAAATTTAGTGAACCATATGGTTTAGCTATATTCGATCATTTTATGTATGTTGCGGATAAAAATAATTCACATATTAAACGAATTGATCTTAATCATCGAACGATTGTTCGTGTAAGTCATCTAATATATTCATATGTCATTCATTTTAATTAAGTATTTCTATTTAGTGTCGATTTGATTTAAGAGAAACTTTAAATGAAGAACGGACATTTGGTTCTAAACAAGCTTATTTAACTATTACGCTACCTGAAACATTTCAATTACGTGAAAATAATGGTGGAACATGGAGTATTGAAGATGAAGATGGTTTTAAAATATGCGATGGTGATTTAATGCGTCATGCATCTGATCAGATACTTTTGGATTATATTCCTCGTGATAAACAAGTTGCTCAACTTAAATACGAATTAATGGTATGTGAAGATGATAAATGTTCGATGGTGAATGGTGAAGTTCAACCAATTAATCAAACAGATTCAATCGTTGAATTTGTTATTAAAGTTGATCAAACAGAAACAAGTTCTAACTAGTCATTTGGTTTTTCTTTCGAATAATAATCATGCATCTATATACTTTGTTTCTTTCGTTTTTTCTTCTCTCTGACGTTCAAAAATCTAATTTTTGTTTGCTGTTATTTAATCTCGCATAAAATGTATTAGAAAAGAAAACATACAGGATCAATTTATTCTGAATGTTATATGTATCTTTCTTATTAAATTACATTATTTATATTTGCTATTGAATTGAGTTATACGTAGATATTTAAACTTCATCATATACATTTTGTTTTAAAGTAAATAGATTGTTGTGTATGTGTAAGGAATTACAAGATTTCATCAAGCACTATAAAATAAATAAATCTTGACTTGTATGTTTTTTATATATGGCTTTTTGACTTATTTATCGCCAAATAAGTTTTCAAAGATAGATATGATGCATTAATTATCTAGATTCTAAAAAACCCAGGTCGAATAATCAGATAGCAAGATCTTGGAGGAATCGTATATCTGATCTGATAGAATCAGACAAGGATCCGACAAAAAATCGCAGTCTCTGATTTCTGGCACTAAATCGTACTTAAAAACTCTTGCAAGATTTTGTTATGCGGTGGTATGACTTGATACAAGGTTTCACAGACTTCGATTTTTTGTCAAATTCTCATAAGGTTTCACTGATACAACAAGATCTCATAAGGCTTTGCAAGATCTGATCTCAGATTTTTTGACCTGGATAACGTAAAAATTATGCTGGTAAACGATTTCTAAGTATATTAGATGATTATCGTACATCTGTTGTTATGAAAATGTTTGTACGGATAAGTATATCACCTGTTAAATTTATATTGAGACGAATGATGGGTTTAATTGGAGGTTTTCACGAGGCATGGGCAAAATCAGACTTTTTGTGGACTGGGATCTGGATTGTTAAGAGTTTTATTTATTTTTAGTATCGTATTAAAATGGGGAAATTTAATTTTTTTACGTTTAGAATCGCATCGACATCAGAATCAGCATGTTAAAATTCTCTGAATTTTGTATGATATGAGTTCTCCTCGTCCTTTTCCTTTAGATGAAAAACATTTAATTGTTATTATCAATTAATAGGTCCATGCTTTTTTTAATTATTTTTGTAATGCTTTGAAGTTATTCAAATCCGTTTTACTAGAATAACGGTGTGGAATCGTCCATCCCTAATTTTCACCTATTAATTTAACATGAAAATATAGAAATTAAGCGTGATGAAGTAAAATTTCTTTATTGAAACTAAAAGTTGTATAAATTTATTTGCTAAAAAAATAAATCAAGTTTCACTTGTCATTTTCAATGTTGTTTTATCGTTTTTTCCTATACAAAATAAATTAAAATAATAGATGATTATATTATTAAAACGAAAAAACATACTTAATAATAAATTATTATTATCCACATGTTCTATTGCCCATGGTTGTAATTCACTTGACCCAAGACATAAAAATACAATCATTCCAATAACATAAATGATTGAACAAATAAAAAATACAATTCGCCAATTGTTCGGATCCTATATTATTAATAAATTATTAGATATTTTAGAAATTTTTCTTATACGAACTTTTTCTGTAAGTGCACCAACTACATATGGACTAATAATACCAGGTATTGTCGCAAATGTATTGGAAATACCAAACACAACTCCAGCATAACGTGGTGCAATATCATTTGCAACTAATACAAATCCTCCACCAAAGCAGAATCCACTATTAAAATATACATCAATTTGATAGAATCGAAATATATAAAAACATACCCAAATGCTACACCAGCAGTTAAAAGTATAACAGCAACATATTTCAATTGGCATGTTATAAATGCTAAACCGATAAGAACGATTGCTGGTAAAATAGTTCCAAGTACATTGAAAAGTTTTCTAGTTTGTGTTATTGTTAAAAATTTTTTTCGAATAAAAATATCAGCTAAAAAACCGGAGAATAGAGTATTCAACCATAGAACAATATAAGGTAGAGCTGAAAGAAATCCATTCTAAAAATTTTAAAAGTTAATTAAATAAAATTCGTTTGAATATATTCACCTACTGATTTTATATCAAATTTTAAAACTTCACTCATATATTTAGGAATACAAGTAAGGAATGTATAAGTACCATAATTACAACATGTATGAATAATAAATAATGCCCAACAAGCTGGTGACATAAGAATCGCTCGAAAAGGAGCATGAAAACTATGTTTATTATTACTATTAGATAGTTTTTGTTGAGTATGCTCAAGAACAAATTCTTTTTCTTGTAAACTAATATAACGATGATTTCGTGGTGAATTCGTATAAAAGAATAACCATGTAATACTCCAAATAAAACCAATAAGACCTTTATAGGATTTTTCAAAAAAATGATTCAATATTGTCATATAAGATATGTATACCTGTTGAATAAAAAATTAATGGCCAACCACCAGCAAAATTCCATGAACACATCAATCCACCAATTGACAAAATCAAAACATTACCAACTTGACTACCTACAGTTATATTATTTCCATAGAATTTATGCACAAATTAAATTAATAAAAATTACCAGCATTCATAAAACTCATTAATTTTCCACATTCTTCTTTTGGTGCCCAATGTGCCAAAATAACAGTTAAACATGGCCAGATAGTTCCATGTGCAAGTCCAATAATGACTTGTAGCATGGAAAAAACAATCCAATTTGTATTAGCACTAATTGGTATGAACATAGTAGCAAAACTTGATACAAATATAGCTCCACCGAATATAAATCTAGCACCAAATCGACCAGCTAAATATCCAGATGGTATTTGTGTTAGAATATAACCCCAAAAATAAGAACCTAAAATGAGACCTTGAGTATTTTTAGACCAAACAAGTGAACCATCCTAAAAAACAGAAAAGCAGAAATGAAGAAATCACCATTGTGTTTCATTCAATTACACTATGATTGTTGCTTTTCATTTGAGGACATTTATCATCTGTTGATATAGGTTGCGTTTTTGTGAAATTTATATGATTATATTCAACTGCTGAATGATTAACCATACAAACGAGACCAATACTAACATTAGTCTTTTGTGAAAAATGCACTACCATTCCAAGAAAAACCATAAATGCAATAGCAACACGGGTCGAACACCAAAACGGTACTAAACACATAATATACATAGAAAAACATCACTTCAATTAAACACTAACCCGAAGTTTTTAATTTTACATCACTTATTAATTCCATCTAATCTTTATTATAATTCGAAAAAAATAATATTTGATTCACTTAATAATAATAATTCATAGTAGTTTTTTTTATACCGTATGAGTGCATATACTTGTATTTAATACAAGAAAAAAACCAAATGAGCATTGATATTTCTACAGGCGTTATAAAAGAAAATGCCTTGATAGTCGTTCTGTTCTTTCATATAGTTATTTGTACTGCATAATACACGAAGAAACACATTAAAACAGCCTTAATATGCATCTATTCATATTCATCGGTTTTCTCTTAGACACATTTTTATCTTTTCTTCTGGTAACGACACAGCATATGCGCATGCGTTGACTGTATGATACAACCCAGCATGGCCACCTAACAAATATTTCATAAATATCGGTTTAAAATCAATTTCCCTCCAAATGATTCACCAATAAAAAATTTTGAACATCGATAAATTCCAACAAAGAAGTATAAAGAATAGCGTCATCTATCAGATATTCTTCATGATTTTTAAACTAAATAAAAGATTTTTCAATAAAAAAAGTGTTCATACAAATTTTTTTCATTAAATAATATTCTAATAAATGAACATTTCGATTGAAAATAAATGAATGATTCATCGACGAAAAATCAGTCGACGATATATTCGTTTAATCAATAGACAATGGAATGAATAAACGACGAATTTCATTTTCTCATTGCTTGAAAAACTAACAAGCATGAGTTCTTCATCGTCTGCTTATAAAACAGCTATTAAACAGCTTATGACTCGTATTCAAACGAATTCTAATGATACAAATTCGATTGTATGTTCAACATATTTCTTAATCAACAAAATTTATTTCTGTTTTTGTTATTCTTATAGAATCAATTAAATACAATAATTGAACAATTTCTTCAAAGTTATCGTTTGAATGGTTTATTTTCTGAATGTTTACAATTTTTAGTTCAAATTGTTAAACAATTAATTGATCTTTATCCAACAATAAATGATTTTCGTCCATTAATTATTCAATGGTTAAAATTTAAACGTGATGTTGAAAAGAAAAATAAAGAATTTTTTGATTTAAAAATTAAATTACGTTCATTTCTTGATGTTGCTTTACCATCAACATTTAATCGGACATCATCAAAAGCAAAGGATTTTCTACTTTGTGAATTATATGAATATCGAAATGCGAAGTAATGAATAAATATATATATATATCGTTCTTCTAAATAATCTTTTACTTTTTTTTAAGTATAAAATCAACACAAATGATTGATGAACGTCGTGCAATAGTTTGTTCATTATACGAACAATTTTTTGGTGATGGTTCAGATCATTTTCTATGTGCAAGAATTCTACTGGAACAGATTAAACTTGATTTAGCAAGTGGAAATACTTTAGATATGTAAGAATGAAACAAAAAATTATTTTTCTAATTTATTCATTTTTTCTTCTAGTGATGAATCGAATAATTTAGCAAATCATTTACGAAAATGTTTACCAACATCAGATGATACACATGGAATAGTACAACGTTTATGGCTTTATACGGAATATTATTTAATTAAATTTCAAGTTTATTATTCGAAATTAACGAATGATGTTTGTGTGAAAGAGTAGAAATGATTATAAGAGGAATCTTGTGTTTTTTTGTTTACTTTACTAGATGTCAAAAAAAATCAAGCAAGATTATGAAGAACAAAAACGGCAAGCAGCAGAAAATAATTCAATTAATCAAATTGAAACTTTTCATGCAGAATCAATGACAATGGAAGCACATAAGAGTAAATATTTTCAATGAGTTAACAAAACAAAAAAACATTATTTAAAAGCACAAAACAGAAATCACGATACATACAGAAGAGAAATTTTTCTATGGAGATGTCGTAAACTGCTAAATTTAAATTAAGATGATAATAGAAAATACATTAATAAGTGATGTTTTGCTAATTTAGTTGTCATAGCAAACTCTTCACACTAATTAACTACCACTTCAAAATCGAAAGAATACGATAAATGCGTATTGAAAAATCAGTTTCGTTCGACTGATATAACACAAATATCTTATATGAAAACGCGCATGGGTTAATTGTTGACTTAATATCCGATGCGGAAATAGACCTAATCAAAATAAACTTTCAGAAAAAGAATGAAAATGATTACAGAACAGATTTTGCGAATAATTATAAGCAGTTGCTAATCTTATAATTTTCTGTATATGAACTAGATGTAGAACAGCTCACAATTCCAATTTTGAAGGAACTGAACTGTTATAAGAGTTCAGTTCTTTGAATTGAACTATTCGAAAGCTAATTTTTCAGTAATAAAAACAGTTTTGAAACAGATCAGTTTATAAGAACGAAACTAATATGGAACTGTCCTACCCCTACTACGAACATAAGAATGCAGAATAACATATGTCGTACGAAGTCTGTATCTAATGTCTTCTCTATCCAAGTTTTACTTATTTTTTTAGTGTTAGGAAAATTTTCTGAAAAATCTATTATGTCTACATTATTTAAAAGTTGGGATATGATTAAATCTAAATCCACGTCATTATGTACAATTGAAACTCTTAAACGTGTAGCAAGTATATATCCAAATGAAATCGATATGTTCTATTCAAATTTACATACAATTGCTGCACTATTTGATCTTTTTCAACATGTAAATCTTCGATGTTTTTTTATATGATTAATTTTTTTATTATCTAATCAAATTATTTTCAGTATACGGAAGCAATGGAAATCTATCGATATTTACTTGATTTACTTCCAGCATATCATCCAAGTCGGCTAACAATTATAACAGCATGTAATCGATTAGCAAATAAATGTTCAATTAATCTTGAAGATCGATATAAACCAGTACCGAATCTTTCATCTCGTGATTATCCAAAAGCAACAACGCAAATATCATCATTTGATGTTGATGAAGCATTAAATTTAATTACTATAGCAGAAAATTTCTTACATAATAAAAATGTAATTATAAACATTCTTTTTCAGAGAAGAACGTTCTAAGATCTTTTATTTTAGGTGTCATCATGTAAACAAACGCTTGAAATATTAGAAAAACGACCAATTGTTTCATGTTCATATGCAGATAGTTTTTTTGTACGCTCACATTTATATAATCTTCAATCCAAACTTGTTTTAAATGATGGTAAAAAATATTTTAAACTAATAAATTTTAACAAAAGTTTATTTTAATTAGATGAACAGTTAAAAGATTTTAGTCGAAATGATTTTCTTGCTTTAATTGAAGAAAGTCGATCATATTGTGCACAAGATTTACGTACATCTTTAGATATTGTTGATGTTAATCGATTACCAGAATTATCACGTAAAGAAATAAAAATATTTTCTTTTTCTATATTAAAAATTTAATTTTTAGAACTTCAATTAACTCCACTTGTTCTACATGCACTTCAAGCTTATTTATCTCAAGTAGCACATTTAATTCTACTGAATTTTGAAATTGGTCTTTATCGAAATGCTAAAAATTATCTACTGGTTGGTTTAGAAATTTCAGTTTATTTACATGCTAAAAGATGGTAAGATATAATAGAATTAACTTGAGAGAAATTGAATAAGCTTTTTAAGAGTTATGAAACAGTCCTATATAATACTATAAATTCGAACTAATTATTTTGTTGTTGATAATCGATTAAAAGAATACAGTTCTATTCTAAAGCAAGCGCAAATATCTAGTACATGTAAAACAAAGTTATTCTTTAATTTACAAAGTACTCTATTTAGTTTCGATTTTTAGTAAGAAAATATGAGTGGATCTTCAACTAGTACCATCGTTCTATCTTACCGATGATTTCTTTTTTTGGGTATTTTTTATAAAAATCAGATAATAACAGTTCATACTTGGTTTTTACCTAACGAAAAGTCTGTTAATGTAAAAATAAATAGTATGTTATTTTTCAGTCTGAACTGTTCCAGGGATGTACCGAGACCGACTCTCTCGATCTCTATCTCTGTCAGACTCGGTCCTGGTCAGTCTCGGTCTCAGTCTCGGTCTGATCCAAAACACAGAGAGACTACCTGTGTATCTGTCCTGTTTTCGCTTAGCATTCTATATTTTCTGATTCATTCGACCAAAGAAAGTTGATTTCTACCCATAATTTGGCCTTTCCACGAACATTTTAGAAACTTGGCTTTGTTAAAATCAGCGATCTATCAACTGAAGAGCTTCAACAAAAATTACAATGCGAGGAAAAACGAAAATCTAGAAGATCGAGACATCCTTAGAGTCTGAACAGATCTATTGATTTCTCTGTTCATATTATGTGTAAATAGGATTTGAATATATTTATTCAATCTATAACAATACGATCGATGAACATTTTTTATTTAGAATAAATAAATAAAGTAAGTATATGCTCGATGTCATCATATTCTATCTATGCTTATCATGCTCATGTCTCTCTATTCCTAAATTTGTGATTATTAATAACATTCTCCTCATTAGTTTTTGCTTTGCTTCTATAAAAATATTTTCAAATATGTCTTCCATATAGGTGTTTTTCTTTTGATTTACAGGTTTACATTTTTTCTTGCACTTAATGCACAATTTTTTATTCTATCTCATCAACCTGATTGTGCTCGACGTAAATTAGATCAACTTTCACATCATTTATCAACATTAGATATTTGTAATGATCGTAAACAAGATTTATTTATTGATTTTATTTATTCATGGTATGATTATGTTAAACTTGAATATGATTATCATACGCATGGATATGATCACATACAAACTGTATGTGAAACAAAATTATATCATGAATATAAACAACATAATCTTTCACTTGATTGGCATCGTTTACTCTTTCATCGTATTCATATACTTTATCGATTAACTTATTTTCAACAGCTACGAAAAAATAGTAAATCAATGGAAAATAGAAAACGATTAATTTGGAAGTAAGTATATAGAATACAAAGAAAAAATAAATTAAATCTTTATTTTTAAATAGCATTCCTTCAAATTCTGAAAAATATACTGAATTTACATTTTGGACGGAATCATGGCTTTCATTTCTAAGTCTTATTGAAGATCAACCACCTGAAATTCTCGATAAATCATCTCTATGGCTTCATCCAATCATCGTACCGGATGAATCGAATTTAACTTGTTTACCAGAATGGACTGCCATGAATGATGATCAACATCCTTATCAACAACAAACAGATAGTAAATGGAATAATATCTTATCTCCACCACAAGTTAATACTGGAAATCCATTTGATTTAAATTCTATGACAACAGAAGAAATAGTTTCATTAACAAATGAACCAATAGTAATTAAAACAAAACCAAAGAAACTTATCGATACACCACGAGGAAAAACACCATTTCTATCTGAAAATCAAAAAATCCTATCGGTAAGTTAGAATAAAGAAATTTTTCTTATTGAAAATAATAATTTTTTCTTTTGCTTTTCAGACGCCGAATAAACCATCTTCATCAACAACAACAGCATCAAATCTAATGAGTACTTTTCGAAAGCAAATGTCTATTGATTCATCGATAGCATCTCCTGTATGTACACCAAGTCGTACTGGAAAAAAACTTCCACCATTAGTAGTAGCAAGTAGTAATACATCATCTCGACCACGACGAGCAGCAGCTATAAAAGCCGATGAACGTATTCAACAAATTCGTTATGATGATACCAATGAAAATTTACATCGAATAAATAATAATAATAATAATAATATCATTTCACCAAGAATTTTAGCGACAAATTTAAATGAAAATAATTCAGAACCAGTTGAATTACTTATTGATCAATTAGATTCATTACATATTGAACGAAAACTAAAGTTTGATGATGAGGATGAAGAAGAAATAAATCCATCAATAAAATCCAATGAGAAACTTTTACAAAAATGTATTCAATTACATGATCGTCTAGCTTATGCTCCAAATGCAAAATTAATACGTTATTTAGCAGAATATATTATTTTATTAGCAGGTGATCAAGATCCTTGGCTTGTAGTTACGTTAATTGTTGAAATGCAAGCAATTGGCTTTCGATATAATGCACTTTGTATTTATCAAAGAAAAAAACGGTAAATGAAATCTAATTTATCTATTCTCCAATTACAACTTGAGACGTTTGTATTAAATAAAGGGTGTCATTTAAGTGGTCAGTAGAATAAATGGAACGGTCTGTAAAATAAAAAATTCAAAAAACAGTAGAATTATTGAATGGTCAGTAAAGTAATGGTTGATCGGTGAATTATTGAAATGGTCAGTAATTAATTTGATAGGTCCATAATAAAATTTAAACGATCAGTAAATAAAATGAAATGGAAAGTAAAAAATATAAACTTGTGCAAAGACGTACTACTTTTCTTTTTTTTACTGATAAAAATCATATTTTTTCACTGCTGTTTCCACGAAATCTACTGACCACTTTTGAATTGTTTACTGATTTTTCTGAAAACCGATCAATTAATATATTTACTGATATTTCAATTATTTTACTGACCGTAGAACATATTCCCTTATATAAAGTGCATTTTCTCATTCATATTGAATTCAAAATTAAATTTGAGAAGTAAATTGTTTCTGCAGCTTCTCATCCTACTAAAGTTTTCATAATATATACTTTAAAACTCACGAGGGAAGGTTCCAAATGATTAAAAACTTTAGAGCGCTTATTTTGCCTAGTGATAGGTAACTAATAGACCAGAACAAACCCAGAAGAGTCTATGCTGATACTGAAATGTGATCGAGATATCGATGTTTTAGTGGACTTTTGTTACAGGATCTTAAATTTTCCAAAAAACTCATATTCTTGATTTTTGACCTAAAACTCTGTCGTAACATGAATCTATGTTAGGCTAGTATGTGCCTAAAATCTCAGAAGGTTTTAGTCGAGTCTCTCCGAGATGTGGATTTTTCAAAATATGCATGTTTTACACCGTATGGATGAAAAGGCACCGAAATTTTGAAAAACCCATATCTCGGTCAGATCTCGGTGTTACCACAAACTCTTCGGCGTTTGTTCTAGTCTACAGGTTTCCTATCACTAGGCGAAATAAGCGCTTTAAAGCTTTTAATCACTTGGGGACCTTCCCTTGGCAGTCTATTTAATATTTTCTAGTTAAATAATATTAATTTTATTTTCAGTCACAATACAGATCGAAGTAGTACACCATTACCATCAGGAAGCAATGTTTCACCCGAACATTTATCTCATTATATCGATGCATTACATTTTCGTCCATTAACAATAGCCTATCTAAAAGATATATTAATAAATGATCTTCTTCCAGCTAAACAAGTATGTGTATGTCTTCATTCATTTACACTTATTGATGATCAAATTCTTGCTGTACAAATACGTGGAAATTATTATGCACCTGTTATGCGACGTATTATATTTCCAAGATTATTAGTAAAAAAATTTCATTTTTTAATTGAATCAAATACACATACATTACATGGTATAACAGATCATAAACGTTATTGGGCGATTCGAAGATATTTCGAACAATTATTTGAACGTCTTCTCGAAGATTTGAATTATGTTTATTTAACATCACCAATGAGATGGTGGTGGTTACCTGAAACTAGTATATTTGATGGGAAGAAAGCGATGATTGACGATCTTCTTACACCATTGACAAGTAAGAATTTCATTGATTTTTGATTGAAATATTTATATAACATTTAGATTCACCTCAACAACGTCGTTCTATTGAATTTTTTCTTCATCAAACAATATTTTATTTATCGTCACTGGATGAAATTCGTCAAGAACTTTCGATAAATCTTCCATCAACGATTTATTCTCATATTCTATCGAGTCGTTTAATTGAACGTTTACTTGATTATAAACAACGTACTTATACAAATACTTCACCATCAAAATCTCGTCCACCTCAAAATCTTTTACTTTTTCTTGATAATCATCTTCATATATTTCCATGGGAACAACTTCATTGTATGACATCACTCTTTCGTCGAATAGTTATCTATCGTTTGCCATCAGTTTTATTACTTGATGGTATGCATAAATATTATTATAATTCATCCTCATCTCCATCTGAACAACAATCAAATGTAGATAATAATGATACGACTATAATTCCTATGGAAAAAACATTTTATCATCGTATTGATGTTGATAAAGGTTATTATATAGTTGATCCTGGTAATGATTTACCTCGAACAAAAGAACGTTTTCGTAAATTTCAAACTGATAAACCTGATTTAATTGAAAAATGGAATGGAGTCATAGAACGTTTTCCTACGAATGATGCAATTAAAGATATATTTAAATCAAAAGATGTACTTTTGTAAGTTACGAAAAAAAGAAATTATTTCATTTTTATTTTATTCCATTCATATATATAGATATATGGGTCATGGTTCAGGCAGTCAATTTTATCCGGTTGATGATGTACAGAAAAATTCTTCTCGTTTATGTGTTTTATTAATGGGTTGTTCAAGTGCGCGTTTACAATCATTAGGTGATTTTGAAGTTTTCGGAATGCCATTTGCTTATTTAACATGTGGAGCGTATGTATTTATAATTATTTAATAATTTCGATTTGAACGTTTTTTTTTGTTTAGTGCAACAATTCTTGGATGTTTATGGGATGTAACAGATCGTGATATAGATAGTTTAACATTTTTTTTACTTGAACAACTTAAAGCCGGTGCATCACTTGGTGAAGCATTACGATATGGTCGTGATCTTTGTAAATTAAAGTGTTTAAATGGAGCTGCTCCCGTTATTTATGGTTTACCAGTACGAGCGCGTTAAGAAAGAATAATAATACTATTTTTCCGTATCAATTGATATAACATATATACACATATATATATTTTTTCTATTCTAGTCAAAAATATCAAACTAAACAGTTGTAGATTATTCATTTGCTCATATTATTATTTTTCTAAATGTAGATATAGATGCGATTATTTGTGTGCCCAGTTTTTTTTTTCTTCTTTATTATGTATCTTCTCTCTTCTACTTATACTTCTGCTTCTTTTTTCTTTCACGTTATATATTCTATTTTTTTTGGCCACAAAATTTGATGAATAAAATTATATTACGATACAATTATTGATGGGTTTCATAGAATATCCAGACAAAAAGTTAGGATTATGATTTTTTATTATCAAGAAATATAAAAAAAATGATGGAATATTAAAGGCATATATAAGATCTGGTTATACTTTATACGACAAAGATTAGTTTTATCACTGTTGAGGAGGACGTTGACTTGATTCGAGTTGTTGAATACGTTGATTTGCTTCTCGTAAAGCGACATCAAGTGTGATTGTTTGTTCTTGTAAATTAGCTGCTCGTGATTCTGTCTCTCTATTTAAAATGAGATTATCAAAGATTTTATCAAGCAAAAAAAATGAATCATACGCTAATTGTTGTTGTAATTGTGCAATTGTACGTAATGCATCGAAACCAACTTGTGCTGATTTTGTAGTTGCTGTACTAGTATCAGTATTATTATCAAGTGCTGGTTCTAATTGACGTCGTTCAGTTAAACCACCACGATTAATTGCTTCATAGGATACACTATTACCTTCAATAACTTTATCTTCTTCCTTAGGTTTTTCTTTTGAAGCTTCGGACCAATCTGATTGATCACTTTCTCCTATTTTAGGAACTTCTCGTATAGGTGCTGGTATATCTACATAACTTTCATCACCAGTTAAGTCCGTTAAAATAACTTTCGATGAATAAACCCAATCATTACATTCATCTTGCATACGTTTAAGATCAAGTACTTCGATTTCTGGTACAGCTCCTTGTTCTAAATTTTTATTAAGCATTTCTTCAGCAGTTATTGATGTACAACATCTAAAGAAAAACATTTTATAGAAAAATAAATGTATACGAGATGTTTTTTACTTAATAATATATGCAGTCATAGAAATTAATTCATCACATAGAGCTTTTTGCATTTTAATTAGATTTGCATGTGGTGTACGATTTGCTTCAAGATGATCACGTGCTTCAGCAGATAATTCTGGTTTATTAGGAGCTAGACTAATAAGAATTTGAATAAGCCAATGAACCATTTTTGAATCAAGTTTAAGAGCCTAGAAATAAAAAAAATAGATTGATTACGATATGTAACAAAATGCTTTACTTGATCTGCAATACGACTATTATGACTTTCAACATAATGACGAAGAGAAATAAGACCTTTATTAGCTTGTTGCAATACTAGAGTAGCATCCACACTAAACGAAAAAAAAATATAGAGTCATTTTTATTACTATTCACATTGTTTCATACTTACATACGTTTCGTGTCACCTCTTTTTTTATTTCCCATATCAATATCATCATTAGCTCTCGCTGATTTTCCAACATAAGTCACTGTTCTAGTTATTGCTTCAAACCATTCTTCCATTTGTGCATAGAATGTATGCCATGCTGCTTCATTCAATTTTCCTCCACCATAAGCAAATGTATTCAATTTACTATTCCATGTTTCAAGTGCATTACTAAAGAAAATAATTGCCGACGCTAAACCATTTTCACCTGTCATTCGTACACGATATTGACCGTGTAATAGAAAAATACACTACAAAAGAAAAAATTTTGAACTTGAGAATATATATATTTCAAATTTCATACATCAAATAAATCTTTTAATGCTTCTCGTTCATTATTATCACCAGTATTTGATGGTGGATGACGATTAAGTAATCGTTCAGTCATATCAATCCATTTTTTTAGCTGTCTATCCGCTTTTTTCATACGTTCTTCATTAATAAGAATAGTATCTCCACCGAATTTTTCAACTTCACGTGTACATGATTCTTCCCAAATTCTTGTTTGAGTTAAATATTCAATTGTTTTTTTTTGATCCGGTAAATGTTTTAATTTTCCATCATGATCACTATATACAAATAGAAATTGAAAAAAAAAATTTTTTTTTATTTAAACTATACATATGATTTTGTCGAAATGTATTTCGTAGTATATCAATTGAATGAGCAAGACGATTAAGATTTTTTGATGTTTCAAATTCACGTTGTTCTTGTTCACGATCAAATGTTTCAACTATTTCACGCCATGTATTTGCAGCTTTTTGTACAGTAGTTAAATCAATTGTATCTTTATCCATAAGATAAATAGCAAAATGATTAGCTAATGCATACCATGCTTGTTCAGCAAGATTTAAACGTTTTGATGTACTTAATTTATGTTCAACAACAACCTTAAGAGCAATTGTTTGTGCTGCGTCACGCCATAATTCTTTTTCTTCAACAATAACATTGGTATGTTTTTCCAAACGTTTACGTTGTAAATCATATAATTCATGATATTCAGTAAGAAGTGATGCATTTTTTTGAGATTCAATTAAAGCAGCTTTAAGCTAAAAATGAATTAATTAGAAAGAATAGAATGTTAATATAAACGAAAAGATTAGTAGAATAATTTCTTACATCTCTTTGAGCTGTTTCGGCTTCGTCAGTAACACGTCGATCATGTTCACGTACATCTTCCAATTCGCTACAAGCAAGAATAAACAAAAGACAAGCGTTATTATTATCATCTTCTTGATTATGAGATTAATTATGTTTACATGTCACACACACAACAAGTGTGTATGTATGTTACAATTGAATTGCTTCTATAACGAACATGCAATAGTAACATATGGACAAAGGTAAATAAACTATATGCATAAGGCAATGATGGTTTTCTCTTCATCAAGACATTAAAGAACATACGAGTGTTATTGTCACATACATATACATAAATACATTTAGACTTATGTCGACTACATCTTCATCTCATTTAATTGTTAAACCAAAACCTATTCGATATAATCCATTGCCTATTCAAGGTAATTAACTCGATATTGAAAGTAATATTTTTAAAATCATCATGAAAAAAATCTAGTTAGTATGTGGAAATTTTTCAATATGGAGAAAAGTACTTAATTTGTACTTCCTCCGGATATTTTTATATGCTAGGGCTTAGACTACTATCAAAATTTCAAAGAACTTTGGTGGGAAAAAAGCTTATAACTTTCCATTCATATCGATCTTTCCAGTAGTGACGACCAAATATTTCTATTCTAACTTTCTCAATCTTGTAAAAAAATTTAAATATTATTTCTAGTTGATTTAACAACATGTGATTATGCAACATTACTTCGTGTAGCTAAAGTTACAAATACAAGTAAAATTGATCATTTACCAAAACAAACAAATTCATCAATTGATAATAATCATGATAAAAAACGTACACGTATTCTTTTTACATCATGGCAAGTTGCTGAATTAGAACGTTTATTTGCTGAACAAAAATATGTTTCAGCACAAGAACGTTCAGCAATATCTATGCGTATTGGTTTATCTCCAACTCAAATTAAAATATGGTTTCAAAATCGTCGTTATAAATCGAAAAAAACATCAATAACAACAACAACATTATATTTACGTACAGCATAAGTGTTCCAACAGTTGATTTAAATTGAAGTAATTGTTCAGCTAAACGACGATCAAGTGCACGTTGAGCAATTAATTCTTCATATAAACTATTGAAGAAAAACAAAATCTCTTTTTTTCTTTTCTTTTTAATAAAATTTAATTTAATTAAACCTTTTCACTTGTCGAGGTACACGTGATAATAATGATGTATATCGTTCACGTAATTTACCTAATAATTCACCACGTTCTTTACATTCAACACTAACTTGACGAATTATTTCATGAAAAACAATATTGTATATATTTTGTTCTTCTTTAATTAATTCGAGTAAATTGTGAAGCTGTAAAAAAAACAGATTTTATTAGAGAAATTCATGAACAGTTATATTCATACTTGAGTTTGTCCTTGTAAATCATTATCCTCAATGGTAATTCGTTCTAATAATACATTCATCGTATGTCTTAATTTTAGAACTTCAGCTCGTCCAACTGGTTTTCTATAAAAAAATTAAGATAGTTGAATTATTTGAAATAGAATTATTCTTACAAAGAAGGAAATACAGTAATATGATGCAAATGTTCTTCAGTGATCGTTGTATTTTTACTAGAAAATTAATGAATAAGATTTTATTAACAAGCAAATTAAGAAATATTTACTCATCATAAACTTCGAGGGGTGCAACACCAATATTTTTAATTATACGAAATTCGTGTGGTACAATTGTTTCCGGTAATACAATACTCGGTTCTTGTGAATCATTTGGCATAGCTCGAATAGCACTTTTATCAATACCCCGCTGTTGCTGACCAGATGGTTTATTTTGTTGTTCATGTAACGAAGGATGATGAGTTGTTGCTTCACATAAAAATGATATATCACTAAATAAAAAGGACAAACTATTTCTAATCTAATAGAAAAATGTGGGAATTTACTGTCCAGCTCCACATGTACATGGATTTTGTTCAAGTAAAAATCGATATTTTTCTCGTTGTCTTGCATAATGCCATGCATTATCTGGACGACGTGAGATTGGTGGTGTTGGTCGTAAAAGTTTATTTGAATTTGTTGAATTAGGTGGTCCTAAATATTCACTTGGTACATTGTTTTGCCGTAAGGCAGCCATTAATTCTTGTGGTAAAAAATCATTTTCCGCTGCTCTACCAGTTGGCCTTTGTAATTGTCCTAAACATAATAATTTGTCTATGATTAATAATTAACAAATTAATAACCTCGAAGTTGTGGTAAAACACAAGCATTAACTGAATTAGCTCCATTAGTTTCGTGTTGTTGTTGAACTTCAACAATACTCATTGTTGATTAATATTTAATATAATAATATTAAATTTTTAATTTTTCCTTGTTCGTATTTATCATTATTGTTTAATTATTCATGACAACAACCTCTATGAAATTTTGATAAACAAATAAAATTATAAAATTAAATAAAATTTTTAATAAAATATTATTTTTAAATAAATTTTTTCGAAATTTTCTACAAAAAAATAAAATTCGATAGTAGCGACCTCTCATTCCATTGGTCATTATTTTATTTGACCTTTATTTGTGCTTCGTTGATCTATTCTATCTATTCATCATCACCACTATTCAGTTATTTATAAAAATGGAAAATTTACCTGAAAAAACTGTTTCCATAGCACCAGCATTAGATGAACGTGATTTAATTTTATCAATGCGTAAACTTGATTTAATAAAAGAATTAGGGTTTGTTTGTTTTTTTTTCAATTTATACATATAGAAATTTTGTTGTTTCACAATAGAGATAAACAAAATCAATTACAACGTATACAAACTCATTTAAATCAAAATTCCGATTTAGTTACACGTGAAAATCAAGTTTTACGTGAGTTTCATAAAGAACTTGATATGCTTATTCAAGAACGTATGTCACATATTGAAGAATTACGTTTAATTCATGCTGATATCAATATTGTATGTTTCTAAATAAAGTAAAATAGATGAATAAGTCGTTTTTTCTTAGATGGAAACAACCATAAAACAAGCTGAAGAAGAACGTACAAAAGCAATACAAGAAAGTAAACGTCTTTTCAAAGATTATCAACCAATGAAAGAACAAATAAATAAATTACGAGATCTGCTTAATCTCGAAAAACTTCAAGATAATGAAGAAGATGAAGCTGCTCTAATGACAATGCAGTAAATATAAAGATTTTTTCAGAAATAAAATAAAGAATTATTTATTAAGATTAATTTCTCAACAATCAAATGATCATGATATAACAACATCAAATCGTAGTTCACATTTATCTTCAACAACATCGGATAGTATACATGAACAACAACAACAACATCATCCATTAGTTATACCATTTATTCATCAATCACAACAAATGAATACAGGTCCGATTTCAACAGGTACATCATCATCAAGTAATAATCAATCTCAATCATCAGGAATTAATGTATCAAAAGTACTTGGTGCAATGGTATCGACAGTTGATCGATCAGCTTTTAGACAACAACCACCACCCATGAAGGTAAGGTGTCATTGTAAAATAATCAAATTCATTATTCAATTTAGACTTGTCAATCTTGCCAACAACAAATTCATCGTAATGCACCCATATGTCCTATTTGCAAAGCTAAAAGTCGTTCACGTAATCCCAAAAAACCCAAACGTCGTCATACAGATATTCATCCCTGATAATCCCAAAAACAAAATTTGTATAAATGTTTTTCTTTTTTCGTGTATCTTCCGTAATAATTATGTTTTTTTTCTTCTCGAATCTCTTATATAAGCAATATATAAATGTTCGTCGTTGTATGAATATTAAATTAATTGTAGATTTAAACAATGGCTCGTCGATATGATACACGTGCAACAATCTTTTCACCCGAAGGTCGTTTATATCAAGTTGAATATGCTTTAGAAGCTATTTCACATTCGGGTGCATCTTTGGGTATACTTGCTGAAAATGGTGTTGTACTTGCCGGTGAAAAACGTAATGTAAGTCCATTACTTGACGATGTTAAATATTCGGAAAAAATCTATAAAATTCATGATGATCTTTGTTGTTCCGTTTCTGGTATAACCAGTGATGCAAATGTGTTAATTAATGAATTACGTATGATTGGACAACGTTATTTATTAACTTATCAAGAACCAGCACCAATTGAATATATTGTTTCACGTTTATGTAATATAAAACAAGCATATACACAATTTGGTGGTAAACGTCCATTTGGTGTTTCATTTCTTTATATGGGTTGGGATAAACATTATGGTTATCAATTATATCAATCGGATCCAAGTGGAAATTTTGGTGGATGGAAAGCAACATGTGTTGGACATAATTCTCAAACAGCTATATCAATTCTTAAACAAGAATATAAAATTGGTGAAACACAACTCAATGATGCATTACGTTTAGCTATTCGTGTATTTAGTAAAACACTTGATACAACAAAATTAACACCGGAAAAAATTGAAATTGCTGTTTTACAACATGATGATAAAACAAATCAAACAACAATTCGAATGTTAAAAGATGAAGAATTAACAACATTAATAAAACAGTATGAAGATGAACAAAGTAAATTAGAAGCTGATAGACAAAAACAACAGCAAACAACAACAACTAGTACATCAACAGTTGAAAAAGGCAAAAAATAAATTAATTAAAATAAAAAAAAAACTCTTTAACATTAAGCCAAGATTTTTTTTTGTTCTCTCTATTTCTAAATTGTTACGTTTCTGTGACTTCTTTTTTTTATTATTTGGATTATAAACTAAGAAATAAGATTTTTAAAAATGAAAATTATATATTCGAAGATGCAGTTTTATTACTGTCTTTTATTCGATCATTGAATAGAGATTTTGTCCATCGTTCATTCGTCAAATAACCTAATTAGTAAAAAATAAGGCCAGACGAAAAGTTACGTTTGGAACTTGTCTCATAGGTATTTACCATCTAATGATATTCTTTAATTGAATCAAGAATATTTATATAGTAGAAGTATTAAACATACGTCATATATGTATTACTTCTTGCATTGAATTGCATATTTTATTTTCATAAATTTATCCTTATCGAATATTTTCTATTGTTTGCCTACAGACAAATATTTTTTTAATGTTTTGTACAATATTATAATGAAATAAGTGAATAGTAACAACAACAAAGAGAAGAGTAAGATACAACATATATATATATTTAAGATTTATGTCTATTGCTTCGATTCGTTGAATTACTTTCACGTTTATATGATTTTGATTTTGATGTTGATGGTTTATCTATAAACCAATTGATATGTCGTTCATAAAATTCGATTAATAAATCTGGTACAAGTTCTTTCGCTTTTTCATTGGAAATAAAAAATAATTTTGTTGGCGAATGTGAACATTTTAAAAGGAATTCAAGTTGTTGAGCTGGTAAACGTGATCGTGTTATGGAAACAATACGTTCGGGTCCAAGGGAAACATAATCAATTGTATTATTTTGTACTTCCATTTGATCTTGTTTTTGAATATCATTTGCATTTTCATCAACAATTATTGATTTAGTATCATTAGAATCGGATCGAAATTTCTTCTTACGTGTTAATGATGTCGTATGTGTGCGTTTTCGACGACGACGATTAGTTTCAGGTGTTGACTGAAAAAGAATAAATTTCATTTGATTTATTTTATTCTTATTCAATTTCTTACTTCTATATTCGTATTTATGACTTCTGTTTTTTCGATATCATCATTCTGAGAAATAACAATTTCTTGTACACCTAAATAAGAAAACAAATCAATATGATGACATTTCTATAAAAATCTTCTTACTATGAATATCGGAGTGGAATGATTTATCAGTGATTTCATTTTCATCTATTGTTGCAGTAGTGGACAATTGAAGATATGATAAGGAATGATCAGAGATCAGATCATCTGTACTTACATTAACAGAATCAGACATTAAAGGAACTGAAAACTAGAAGAAGTAATGTCTTGCAGGTAACTCATAAAAAATTACCTGTTTCAATGAGATTTATAATTTCATCGAGAATTTGAGACATAATTAATTTACATTCATCATCCTAGAATACATTTATGTAAAATTTTTGAAATTATCATATGACTTACTATATTTTCAGTACAATTTTGATTTTTTTCATATAATTTTATTAAATCTTTACAAAAGACATTTTCTTCAGGTTCCCATGTTGCATCATCTTCATCATAACCATACCATTTTATAAAATATTCTATTTCACCATTTTCAAGTATTCTTTTATTAAGAATTTTTTCAACTACATAGATATCTTCGCCCATTGAAAACAAACGAGAGATAAATCTA